TTAATGGGAGTCGAGAGGAGAACTCGGTGCGTTATTTCCCCCCGATGCGTCTCCGCGAGCGCCCGGCCCGCCGCGGCACAGGGAAGATTGGAATTGCTCCTTGCCACGGACCTTTCCACGGCACATTTTAGGATCCCCGCTGCGTTTTCTTTCCAATGAGAAGAAAGGCCTGTCAGCATTAAGCAAATCAGCCTCACGTCTCACCTCCCTGAGCTGTGTCACACATGAATATCTGAGGGCTTTTTATTCCCATCCATCCCCCCCCCTCCCCTTCCCACCCTCCACCTTCTCTTTTCCCTTCTCCCCTCTCCTTTCCCGTTCCCGTCCTCTCGGCTTTTTAACGAAGGAAAAGTTTAATGCGGCTTCACAAAAAAGGAGGGAGAGGGAGAAATATCCATAAAACTCCAATTTAAACCCCTGCAACCCGTTCCTCTGCTTTCCCTTTCAACCTGATAACAACCCCTTTTTTCTTCCTAATAGGAAGAGGGTTTGAATTTCTCGAGCAGCTGGAGGGGGAGAGAGAGGAGGAGGAGGAGGAGTGTGGAGGGGAAGGAAGAGTTTCTGCATGTTCATGGAGGGTTTAAAGGAATGGAAAAGCGAGGTTGGAGCAGGAATAGAGACAGGAGCTGCCACGAGAAGGGCAGGATTTGCCTTTCATTGTCTTGCCTTGCCTGGCAGGTGACAAATGAACCGTGCAGGTGCCCCCAAACAAGGGAGATGTGGAGCCAAATGAGAGAAATAAACCACCATATTATTAAACATTAGGGAGGTTTTCCTCCCCTCTGGATCTTGGGAATGGATTTAGGGCCAAATTTGGGACCTTCCATAGGAAAGGATGGTCAGAAACTGCTTCAGCTCAGGAATGGGTGACACCAGACACCCAGAGGACCTCGATGAAAATGATGCAGTTGAGTTATGGGGTCCCACGAGCGGTAAAATTTGTCCCCCAAAAGGCTTCAGGAGATGCTGTTCCCATCCTTCCCTGAGCTTGGGGGCTCAGGCACGGAGCACTGATGATTCCATGATGTGGGAAAAGGTAGCTCAGTGCAGAGATCTGTGCTGGAAGTGGAGCTCCCAATGGGATTTCTTTTCCTCTATCCCCTTCCCCACCCAATCTTCCAAGGGAAGGGTAAATCCAAGTGTGCAACAGACTCATTCCAGCCAGGAAAGGACAGGTAAAATCCAAATATCCACGTGAAAATCCACACACACACACACACACACTCCCTTGTCTGGGCTTTCATTGGGAAGAGCCTGTGTGGATGCGCATCCCCAAAACCTCATCTTTTAGGGTAGGAAAAGCGGGAATGGGTTCAGCTTCTTTCCACTTCCCAAAGTTTTTCCCCGAGCCAAAATTTGCTGGGAATGAGTTGGAGAGGAGAGAAGGAAACGAGGGCATCTCCTTGTGCAATCTGAGCGAAACATCTAAAAGGGTTTAAGGGATGTTTCGACCTCATCCCGTGGCCTGAAAAACAGGAGAATCCACATGAACCAACACCAGGGAATTTTCCCTTCCGGACCCCAGGATTGCCCCTGTGAGTTGTTTATCTTCCCTGCCCATTAATGCTTAATTGATCTGTGGCTCTAATTGATGGCAGTGGAGACACATCGTGCAGGAAGAGCCAGAGACAAAGGCAGGATCCAAGGAAATTTGGCTGTTTCCTGGATGAGGGGAGTTCTGTTGGGGATGGGGGATTCTGGGGATTGGGGATTTCCATCCGCTGCTGCAACAAGAGCTCTCATGTTTTCATCTCCAGACCTGTCCCTTGTCCTCCACCAGCTCGACTTCCCCATCCCCTCTGTGGCTCCAGGGTTTCCTCCAATCCCACAAATCCCGAATTGCAGCTTCGCCTTCACCTTCCTCGCTTTCCTGGGATGGTTCCTTGCTGGGAGCCTTGGGGACTTCCTAAAACAGTGTCCAGGTGGCCAAGGAGGACAATGACATCCCGGCTTGGATCCAAACCAGTGTGGCAACAGGAGCAAGGCAGGGATTGTCCCCCTGTGCTGGGCACTGCTGAGGTCACACCCCAAATCCTGGGATCAGTTTTAGGCCCCTCGGGACAAGAAGGACATTGAGGGGCTGGAGCGTGTCCAGGAAAGGGAATGGAGATGGGAAGGGGCTGGAGCAGCAGGAGCAGCTGAGGGAGCTGGGGGGACTCATCTTGGAGAAAAGGAGGCTCAGGGGGGACCTTCTCACTCCCCACAACTCCCTGACAGGAGGGGAGAGCTAGGTGGGATCGGGCTCTTCCAGGGAACGAGGGACAGGACGAGAGGAAACGGCCTCAGGTTGCACCAGATGAGGTTTAATTTGGATATTGGGAAATTTTCTTCCCTGAAAGGGTTGTCCAGCCCTGGCACAGGTTTCCCAGGGCACTGGTGGACTCACTGCCCCCCGGAGGGATTTAAAAGCCACGTGGATGTGGCACGTGGGGACGTGGCAATTCCAGGGGGAACAGTTGGATCTTCAGAGTCTTTTCTAATGTAAATAATTCCACGATTTGGTGACTATTGGGAATGGCCTCTTGACCCGTGATGGATACAGAATTGTCCTTTTGATCATTTGGGAAGTAGCTAATTGAGCTTCCAATTCTCCATGAGAGCCCAGGGACTGCACTGACGATTTAACAGGGATTGAATTTCAGGTCCTGAGCCCATTCCCTCCCGGCTGCCTGATTCCCTAACACAGCCACAACCCTGGCAGCTCAGGAGCTTTGGAGAAATTATTTTCTAATGGGAAGAGGCTGAAACATCCCAAGGCCTTGCAGGAAGTCGAGGGAATGAGTTTCACAGCCAGTCCCAAACCCCCAACCGGCTGGAGCTGCCTCACTCAATCCCAGTTTCCCACTGTGCCCTTCCCGGCTCCCGGGGACTCGCAGCCTCTTGGTTCCGGTTCATCCCCGCTCCGGCTCCTGCTGGATGCCTCCAGCTCTCAGCACACCCATCTGCCTGCTGACTTCATCCCCCCCGATGCCTGGGACACGCGCCAGGGCACGGGAATATCACATCCCTCCTTCCCTGGGGCGCCCTTTTTCCAGAGGCGATGGAATCACTTAGCCGAGCGGAACCATGCCGAGCTCCTGACCTTTTACCTCGCCACCTCCCAAATTTGGGGAAGGGAAACTCTGGAAAGGCTGTGCTGGCCACTGAGTTGGGCCAGAGCTCGTTCTGCCTCCCTGCAGCCCGTGATCCCCTTCCTTCCGCCCTGGAGATGGAAGGATTTAGGGATGTGCCGCTGCCTCCCAACACGACGGGTCCTGACGGATGCCCGGATGAGCCCTGGAGCAAAGCAGAGTCCTCTAAACCAACAATCAAGTTTATTAATCATTAATAGCAGTGCACACTTCACTCCTCGTTTCCCAGAGCAGCAGCAAAGCTCTGCAGGGCTTGAGGTGGGGAAAGGGCTCCACGGATCCCTTGAGAAAGGAGCAGAGGGCTCGGGATAGAGTTCGGATGGGACAACTGGCAGGAAGCCCTAAAAAATGTCACCCCAGGCACGGGAATGTTGGGTTGTGTGGTTCATGTCCCATCCAAGGGGATGCTGTGTGGGTGCCACGACCTTGGAAGTGCTCGAGGCCGGGTTGGATGGAGCTTGGAGCCACCTGGAATAGTGGAAAGTGTCCCTGTCCATGGAAGTGCAGCCTGGCGCTCTGGAATTTTCCAGTTTGGATAGAGCTGGAGCCTCTTTTATGGAAGCACCACAGATCCCTAAGAGCCCAGAAAGAGTGGAATTACACCCCCAGCACCCCCAAAACAAGGAAGGGTTGAGTGGGGAATGAGCCAAACCAGCCTGGCTGCTCCAGAGCATCCCAAGGGCATTCCAAGAGCTTGTCAATCCTGGGAGTGGAGAGGAAAGGTGGGAGCAGGGAGAGGTAGGACATCCCCAGGACATTCCTGTTCCTGAGGCCAACGTTCAAGACATTGATGTTTTTTCACTATCCAACCCTTTTTCCCTGGAAAACAGGACAACTGCATCCAGAGCGCAGCTGGGCACTCTGGAATTTCCCAGTTTGGATGGAGCTGGAGTCTCCTCTATGGAAGCACCACAGATCCCTAAGAGCCCAAAAAGAGTGGAATTACACCCCAAAAACAGGGAAAGGTTGAGTGGGGAATGAGCCAAACCACCCTGGGCTGCTCCAGAGCATCCCAAGAGCTGCTGAATCCATGGAAAGGTGGGAGAGAGGGAGGGGTGGGAGGCTGGATGACCGGGGTGAGCGCTGCACTTCCGAGCGCTTCCCACAAAAGGCCTTTAATGCATCGGAAAGTGGAACGGAAAGTGGAAGGTTTCACATCTGATTCTTGTCACGGGGGGACAGCGGGGCTTTAATCGGCCCCTGTGCCATTTCCAGAGGGAAGGAAAGACCCTGGGAATGGCTGAGCCACTTTGCTCAGAGGGGGCTGCTGCCCTTAAGAGGCTTTTTATTGCCTCAGCAGAGGGGTCCTGTCATTCCAGTGACACTAAAAGTATCCGAGGATTAGCGGTGACGGACGGACTGGCCTGTCCCTGTCAAGCTCGCAGCGGCCGAGGGGGAGGAAGGAGGGGGAAAAAGAGGAGGGAGAAGCAGCCTTTCCCTGGAAATGGATGATTCCAATGAAAACCAGCCACTAACTGGGCTTAGATCCTTCCCGATTATCACCTCAGATCAGTCCTTATATCCCAAAAAGGTTTGTAATCCACCCTCTGTGGGAACGCAGGAATTTGGAGTTTTCCCTGCCTCCAGCAGGGCTGGATGAGGAACAAGCTTCCAGCTTTGAAGATGCGGCCAATCCACCTCTTTGCCAGGGTTTTTTTCAAGAAGAATTGAGGAAAACCATGGGCTGGCAGTGACATGAATGTCTCTGAGTCCCAGGAGGGGAGAATCCCCCTCCTGATCTCTTATCCCTGCCCAGAGGGCTTGGAACTGGAGGATCTTTAAGGTCCCTTCCAACCTAAGACATTCCATGATTTTTCATCTCTCCAGCTTGGATTTTAAGGAGCTGCTGCCCTTATTTATCTCTGGAGAGAGCCAAAATCGTGTCCTTCAGTGAGAGGCAGAGTTATCCTAGAGGGGAAAACTCAGTTTGGATAAAATCTCGTTTCTCCCCTCCCCACTGTTTTACTGAACCTTTTCCCTTGAGTTTGGAATAAACCTGTCCCTCATCCCAGGTAGAGGTTGTGACCCCTCTCCATGGGAAGAGCCCAGATGCCCACACAGCACAGAAAACCATATTTTTACTATTTCTTGGAATTGTGATTAAATTTCTCCCATATTTCCACACTCCCTGCCTGGAAATCCCACCAGATCCTCCCCCTTGGACTCTGGATTTTGACCTTGGCTGGGGCTTGACCTGCTGCCAGTGGTTCTCCTGGAGTGCCAGCACATCCCACATCCCTGCTCCCTGCAGTTCCCTGCCATCCCTGCTCCTTCACAAGGGAGCATTTCCCAGCCACATCTCCATTCTCCCGCTGCCCAGGCTGAATTTTTTTCCTTTTCAATTCTCCTCCTCGTGGAAAAATAGATCGAATTTCTTTTCCCTTCCCCCCTCCCCTCCTCCTCCTCCTCCTCCTCCTGCTAAACCCCTGCTTGCAAAGAGAGGTTTGGAGACACAATTTCAAGGTGGATTCAGCACCGGGAGATTGGGGGATTGAACATCAAGAAGTTGTTTGAGGCTGCCGAGTGGTCTGTGCTCCCTCCCGAGCCAGAGGAGTCCAACGGGGCCCTTGGAAGTGCCACTCCAGCTAATCGAGCCCGTGGAGAGGCAGGAGGACTCCTGGGGGTGGTTTTCTTGTGCAGGTTTCTTCAAGCACAGCTCTGCAGGAAAGGCAGGGAGGGATGATCCCCCCCTCGGGGGATGAGGGAACGGGATTTGGGGTGGAACGTCCTGGTGCTGGGGCTGATATGGGAATTCCTGGTCCAGTCACTCCCCACCCTTTTCCCCCAGTTTTCCCACCTGTTCAATGGTGATGGCACTGGGAAGCTCCTCTGCAGAGACCAGTGGGAACCTGCTATGGATGAACTGAAGGAAGAACATTTTGTCCTTAAGGATTGGCTGGAAAAGAAAACAACAAAGCTGGTGGATGTCAATGGGACACAAAAATCTCCATCTTTAGAGGTTGCCCCATCCCTGGAAGTGTTCAAGGCCAGGTTGGACTGGGTTTGGAGCAACCTGGTCTGGTTCCACCCTCATTCCATGGGCAGGGACACCTCCCACTATCCCAGGTTGCTCCAAGCTCCATCCAACCTGGCCTTGGACACTTCCAGGGGTGGAGCATCCACAGCTTCTCTGGGCAACCTGTGCCAGTGTTTTTCCACCCTCACACTAAAAAACTTCCCCCTGATACCTAATATAGGGATCGTATCTATATATTTAGTAGACAGGAGAGCTCTTCTCTGCACTTGCTCCAGCCCCTCCATGGCCTTCCTGAGCTGAGGGCCCAGAACTGGACACAGCACTTGAGGTGAGGCCTCACCAGTGCTGAGTCCAGGGGCAGAATCTCTTC